TACACACACACAGCCAGGCATGCTATGCCCATACACACATACAGCTAGGCATGCCATCCCCATACACACATACAGCCAGGCATACCATGCCCATACAAAGACACAGCTAGGCCCATATACACTTACAGTCAGGCATGCCATGCCCATACACACACACACACAGGCATGCTATACCCATACATGCATACAGCCATGCATGCTATGCCCATACATGCATACAACTAGGTATGCTATGGCCATACACACATACAGCCAGGCATGCCATGCCCATACATACATACAGCTAGGCCATCCCCTTACAAAAATACAGTCAGGCATGCCATGCCCGTACTCACACACAGCCTGGCATGCCATGCCCCTCCATGCGTACAGCCAGGCACGTTATGCACATACACGCATACAACTAGGCATGCTATGCCCATACACACATACATCCAGGGATGCTATGCCCGTACATGCATACAGCCATGTATGCTATGCCCATACATGCATACAGCCATGCATGCTATGCCCATACACACATACAGCTAGGCATCCCATCCAAATACACACATACAGCCAGGCCTACCATGCCCATACACACACACAACCAGGCATGCTCTGCCCATACACACATACAGTCAAGCATGCCATGCCCATACACACATACAGCCAAGCATGCTATGCCCATACATGCATACAGCCATGCATGCTACGCCTATACATGCATACAATACAACTAGGTATGCTATGCCCATACACACATACAGCCCGGCATGGTATGCCCATACACACAAAACAGCCTGTCATGCTATGCCCCTACATGCATACAGCCAGGCACGTTATGCACATACACGCATACAACTAGGCATGCTATGCCCATACACACATACATCCAGGGATGCTATGCCCGTACATGCATACAGGCATGCATGCTATGCCCATACATGCATACAGCCATGCATGCTATGCCCATACATGCATACAACTAGGTATGCCATGCCTATACACACATACAGTCAGGCATGCTATGCCCATACACACATACAGCTAGGCATCCCATCCAAATACACACATGAAGCCAGGCCTGCCATGCCCATACACCCACACAGACAGGCATGCTATGCCCATATACACATACAGTCAAGCATGCCATGCCCATACACACATACAGCCAAGCATGCTATGCCCATACATGCATACAGCCATGCATGCTACGCCCATACATGCATACAATACAACTAGGTATGCTATGCCCATACACACATACAGCCAGGCATGCTATGCCCATACATGCATACAGCCAGGCATGCTGTGCCCCTACATGCGTACAGCCAGGCACGTTATGCCCATACACACATACAGCCAGGCATGCTATGCCCATAAATGCATACATCCATGCATGCTATGCCCATACATGCATACAGCCATGCATGCTATGCCCATACATGCATACAGCCATGCATGCTATGCCCATACATGCATACAACTAGGTATGCTTCGCCATACACACATACAGCCAGGCATGCCATGCCCATACATGCATACAACTAGGCATGCTATGCACATACACGCATACAACTAGGCATGCTATGCCCATACACACATACAGCCCTGCACGCTATGCCCATACATGCATACAGCCATGGATGCTATGCCCATACATGCATACAACTAGGTATGCTATGCCCATACACACATACAGCCAGGCATGCCATGCCCATACATACATGGAGCTAGGCCATCCCCTTACACACATACAGCCAGGCATACCATGCCCATACACACACACAGCCAGGCATGCTATGCCCATATACACATACAGTCAGGCATGCCATGCCCGTACACACACACAGCCTGGCATGTCATGCCCATACACGCGTACAGCCTGGCATGCTATGACCATACATGCATACAGCCAGGCACGTTATGCACATACACGCATACAGCTAGGCATGCTATGCCCATGCACACATACAGCCAGGCATTCTATGCCCATACATGCATACAGCCATGCATGCTATGCCCATACATGCATACAGCCATGCATGCTATACCCATACACACATACAGCTAGGCATCCCATCCAAATACACACATACAGCCAGGCCTACCATGCCCATACACACACACAGCCAGGCATGCTATGCCCATACACACATACAGTCAAGCATGCCATGCCCATACACACATACAGCCAAGCATGCTATGCCCATACATGCATACAGCCATGCATGCTACGCCCATACATGCATACAATACAACTAGGTATGCTATGCCCATACACACATACAGCCCGGCATGGTATGCCCATACACACAAAACAGCCTGGCATGCTATGCCCCTACATGCGTACAGCCAGGCACGTTATTCACATACACGCATACAACTAGGCATGCTATGCCCATACACACATACATGCAGGGATGCTATGCCCGTACATGCATACAGGCATGCATGCTATGCCCATACATGCATACAGCCATGCATGCTATGCCCATACATGCATACAGCCATGCATGCTATGCCCATACATGCATACAACTAGGTATGCCATGCCCATACACACATACAGCCAGGCATGCTATCCCCATACACACATACAGCTAGGCATGCCATCCCCATACACACATACAGCCAGGCATGCCATGCCCATACACACGCACCAGTCAATGTTGATAAGGTTGCGGCACATCACGTTGCCCACTACTGCTGGGTTGAACGCATTCACCTGAGGGGGTGAGGAGAGACACGGTAGGGACAGGCAGGGTAAGGAAAGGAGGAGGGTGTGGGGCGGAGAAAAGGCGAGGCACAGAGTGTCGCACCGAGTCACACTGCTGGCTGCTGCGAGGTTGAAAGCATTGACCTGAGGGGGTGAGGTGAGACACGGTAGGGGCAGAATCGGGGAAGGAGGGAGGTGTGGGGCGGAGAGAGGAGATAGGAGAGAGGAGAGAGGTGAGAGGAGAGAGGAGATAGGAGAGAGAAGATAGGAGATAGGAGAGAGGAGATTGGAGAGAGGAGAGAGGAGATAGGAGAGAGGAGAGAGGAGATTGGAGAGAGGAGAGAGGAGAGAGGAGAGAGGAGATAGGAGAGAGGAGATAGGAGAGAGGAGAGAGGAGAGAGGAGAGAGCGCACGGCACTAGCGCGCACGGCGCCGGCGAGCACGGCGGCAGCCTCGGCGCGCACGGTGGCAGCACGCACGGCGCCAGCGCGCAAGGCGCAAGCGCGAAACGCGCCAGCGCGCAAGGCGCCAGCGCAAAACGCGCCAGCGCGAAACGCGCCAGCGCGAAACGCGCCAGCGCGAAACGCGCCAGCGCGCAAGGCGCCAGCGCGAAACGCGCCAGCGCGCAAGGCGCCAGCGCGAGACGCGCCAGCGTGGAAGGTGCCAGCGTGGAAGGTTCCAGCGTGCAAGGCGACAGTGAGAAACGCGCCAGCGCGCAAGTCGCCAGCGCAAAACGGGCAAGCGCGAAACGGGTTACGGGCTCCGCGCCAGGTGGCAGTTAGGCATGATAAGGAAAAAGAGTTAGTTTTGAGTTAGGACTAGGTGTGAGCAAGGAAGTCAGTGTGAGCAAGGACTAGGCGTGAGCAAGTACTAGGCGTGAGCAAGTACTAGGCGTGAGCAAGTACAAGGAGTAAGCAAGAACTAGATGTAAGCAACTAGGTGAGGACTGACCTACACGAGCAAGAACTAGGCACGAACGAAAGAGCAAGAACTAGGTACAGTACAGTAAGTGGGAAGGACGAGCAGAAACAAGAAGCTCCAACAAGCCCTACCAGGGGCGTATTCGCTTTGCCCCAGAAAGCTAAACCAAGTACAATTCAGCAAAGTTACTACACCCAAGTATTCTTTTAAATAGCATGTATTACAGTCCGATTTCTGTTACACTCACCTCAAGTTTGGTTCAGGTTTGTATTCTCGCACGGAGAGCGAGTCCCGTTGAACGTGAGAGACTGTACAGCGTTACAGTCACGAAGCAGATAAATCAATCGTTCCCGCCCGAAACGAAACCGCCGATCTAAACGAATACTTCAGAAATACAACACTTCTTTTATATGAAACCGTAAATTATTGCAGTAGTTAGTAATGTTACATGCTACATTCATCTCGTAGTATTTTACTCACAAAAGTTTTATGCACAACCCAAATGAAAAGAAAAAGGTGGGGGGGAAATACTAACTTGAGTTGTGAACGGGAAAAATTTAGGCATTCGCCATCCGACGATTCACGTCGAGCCTTGTGTTTTACTATTTCCTGCTTACAGGTTTGAGCCGCGTGCAAAAACTGTGAGACCAAATAGAATAAAAAGTGTACAGCGAACGTTCTTGCCTTCGCTTGACAGCATGCAAATAAACAGTCAATGTTTAGCAAATTTCGACTACAGTGAACGTTCTTTGCCTGTGGTTCCGGCAAACAGCACAGTCAAACTGCAACTCGACAGTCAAGATCTAAACAAACTAATACGCAACCCAAAAAAAAAAAACTGCCCAAGTTTGCTTAGGAATTCAGCAAACGACTCTACAGTCCGCCTTCGGCTGATAGTGTACTCATGCAACAAAAAACTCACGGTTCCAATAAATTTCGAGAAGAGATGGAGTCACACTGCAACTTGATTGTCAACGTCAAAACGAACCAATCGTCTTGACGGTGTGCCATAATGTACCATCATCCCACGTGAAACACTGCAACTAAAAAGTCAAGCTTGAATAAAAAGCCACAACAGTAAATATCTTTTTCCTCTCGTCTCGACAAAAATGCATAAGTTCTAATAGCTACAGACAAGTACACGCATTGCATCCATAATCACCATTTGATGTTGTTTTCAACCAAACCTTTTTTTTCATGTTGAGATTTGTAGAAAACCCATGGCATTGTTCTCGTTTATACATTTCTCATCAAAATCCCCTAATGGCTTCAAATCACGTTCACGCTCATATCCAATCTGAAAAACAATTGCACATAACTTACCTTACAAACGAACTCTCTTACCTATTTATTCGCATGAGAGAATTGCTCTTTCATTTCAGGATTCTATCAAGCTGCTACGCAACCCTAACGACGCATTGGCGTCGAGCCTTGTTTCATTCATTCATCGCCGTCATCGGCGCAATAACAGCAGCCGTCTAGCCGTGCGAATTCGCCGGTACAGTAGTATCTCCGTACGTGCCATGGGTGGCCTTGTCATCTATCTGCACCCGGCCTCCCAGCCGTGCCGGGCAGTCAGCATCTTCCTCAAGTGAGCGGCCGTCCTTGATTGCGCCGTACTAACCTGTCGTTAAACAAGCTTGCTGCTTTCGAGATTCCTGTCTTCGAGATTCCTGTCTTCGACATTCCTGCTTTTGATATTTCTGCGTTCAAGATTCCTGCATTCCTGCTGCTTTCGAGATTCCTGCTTTCAATATTTCTGCGTTCAAGATTCCTGCAGCCTCTTGCGGCCGTTCCACGAAGTTGTATTCGTGTTCAATGGCGATGCCCTTGTAATCGACGCAAGGAAATGACTGAGAACGCGATTGTAATTGTTGCAGGTTGAACGATATCGAGTATGAGGAGCGGATCGTCAATCTGATGAAGGGCGAACACCGTCAGCCCGCATACAAAGGTACGAGGCGACTCTAATTCTAGTAACCCCAATTCTGAGGCAAGGTCTCGGCCAGTAAGTATCCGTTCACTTCAAACTGCCATATCGTTATCTGCTGCTCCCTTGTTGTTCTGGCTGCGTGTCTGCTTGTCCGCGTGTCCCTGCGGCACTCCTCGTTAAATTGGCTGCTTGTGCGAGTGTGCGCAGAGATCAACCCACACAGCCTGGTACCTGCCATGGACGATGGGGGATTCAAGCTCAATGAGAGGTATGCCTGCACTCAATTCAAAATCTCCGCCTTTCTTCTTCTCTTTCTGTTCCGAGTCTTTCCAGCTCGCGCTCCTGCACTCCCCTTAAAACTTTGAACATCACGCAACCCCTTGCCCTCATTCTCGCCCTCTCAGTATGAGCACTCGTGCTCACGCACACACCCACACACTCACAGCATCGCATCACACACTCTCGCCATTCTATCCAGCCGTGTTTCTTCACGCGTGGTGTGATTCGTGCGTGCGTCATGTGCACACACATCATGTGCACGTCATATGCACGTCATATGCACGTCATGTGCACATCATGTGTGCTGCATGCATGCAGCCACGCCATCCTCAAGTACATAATAGCCTCTCGTCCCTGCAAGGAGGCGTGGTACCCACGTGACGTGCAGAAGAGAGCGCGAGTGGACGCACTTCTGGACTGGCACCACTCCAACACTCGCAGAAACACCGGTACCTCCTCCCCACCACATTGTTCGCCACCACATTGTTCGCCACCACATTGTTCGCCACCACATTGTTCCGTCACTTAATTCCTTCACCCCCCCCGCGTGCACATACGTAGCACTGCTTTCGCTTGCAGTAGCCAAGCTGCCGATGCTCATCTCTTAGTCTCTCCGACCGTTCCGCTCTCCTGCCTTTCCCCTCTCTTTCGCCTCTGATTTCTCTCCTCCCTCCCCTCTTCTCTACAATGTCCCACTTCACCTCCCCTCCCTTTGCCTCCCCTCCCCTCCCTCCTCCCACCCTCCTCATTCTCTCTTATCTTCCCCCAGCGGGCCTGGTGTTCAACGAGGTGGTGGCAGCGTTCGTTTGCATGCAGGCTGACCTGCACATAGCACTGGCGCGCTTAGGAGATCGTCTCAGTTTTCAAGGCCCCTAAAGCAGTCTCTCTCCCCCCCGCCCCCCCATCTCCCTCCGGCGAGCCTGGTGTTCAACGAGGTGGTGGCAGCGTTCGTTCGCATGCAGGCGAGCAGCGGCGTCCTGGCGCCCACTTACATAGCATAGCAACGTTCCGTTTCCCCTCCCCTCTGCCCCTCTCCTCTCCCTGCCCCCAGCTGGTCTGGTGTTTAACGAGGTGGTGGCAGCATTCTTTGGCGTGCAGGGCGACCAGCACATAGCAGCGGTGTCCCACCGCGGCCTACAGGCGTCACTCTCCACCCTGGAGAACGTCATGCTGGCGCAGGCAGACCCCGCCGACCCAGCCGCGCCCAAGTTCCTGGATGGGAGTGCGGAGCCCACGCTGGCCGACCTGTGCATTGCATGCGAGCTCACACAGCTGGAGGTGGGTGCTGTATGTACCATGGTCGGTCGGTCGGTCGGTCGGTGGGACCAATGCAATGCAATGGACATGCCACCTCCTAGTGCACTGGTCCTACCTCCTGGTGGACTTGTCCTCCCTCCTGGTGCACTGGTCCTCCCTCCTGGTGGACTTGTCCTCCCTCCTGGTGCACTGGTCCTCCCTCCTGGTGCACTGGTCCTCCCTCCTGGTGGCACCTCCCACCATATCATCATGATGGCTTGCTGATCTCTCTCTCTCTCACCACTCCCACCTCACATGCCTGTCATCGCTTCCATGTCACATGTGTGCGTGCCCCGACTTCTCCCTTTCCTTCCTTTCCTCCATTCCTTCTCGCTCCGGCCCTTCCACGTCACAGTTGATGGGGCCGGCAGGCAAGGAGGCGATACTGGGCGATTACAAGAAGGTGCAGGCGTGGCAGGAGGCAGTGAGGGCGGCGTGCAACCCCGCCTTTGACCAAGTGCATGAGACAGTCAAGGGCATGGCTGCTCAGATTGCAGCTGCTGCTGCTGCCAAGGAAGATGGTGAGGCAGGAAAGGAAGGCGAGACCACTTCCGAGGGTGTGTAATGCGTTGTTGTGGATACGCAATATGATGCGGTGACATGACAATCTATGTTGTGGGTTGTTAACGATTCTACTAAATGTGTGCCATGCCTCAGCGCAACTATCACGCAATGATCCGGGTTCTAAGGCTGCTTCCTCGCTAGCATTGCACCTGATGAGGCAACAACGCATGCAGGGCGCCGTGCTTGCAGTCACTTCCTGCCAAACCCCTTCCCCTCCCCTTGACTGCTGCTGCTGCTCCCTCTGCTGCTGGAGTCAGAGCTGCCCTCCTCCGCTCCCTCCTCCGCCCCCTCTCGGAACACCGTGTCTTTAAAGATGAAATAGGGCGCCACGTAGTTGCTCACCCAGAACAGAACCACAAACGCAATGCTGGGGGGGTGGGGGCGGGCAATGAGAGAATGGGAGGGAGGTGGGCACAGGGAGGAGACCGGCAGCAGGGGTGGCTGAGAGGCAGTGTCTGGTGAAGTGACTTTTGAGTCGACTCAAAAGTCACCTCGAGACCGGCAGCAGGGGTGGCTGAGAGGCAGCGACTGGTGAAGATAAACACGCCATGATGCTGCTTTGATGCTGCTTTGATGCTGCTTTGATGCATGATGCATGATGGAATGAATAATGGTAACGAGAGCTCCATAATGTGTCTCCATGAAATTGATACTCCCATTTTGTACATGACAGCCCCCATCCATGCTTCCATCCGACCACGAGCAACCCAAACAGAGAAGGCCCATGCACAAGAGCCGAAGCACAAGAGCCGAAGCACAAGAGCCGGCAGCGCAGGGACGTACACGAAGGGGATGAAACCCGCGGCATCAGGAGAGTAGGGCGTTTCCAGGTCCAGCAGCAGGCTCTCCCCCGCCTCGTTCCACGGGTCAGTACCTAACGCCACCGCAGCACCAGGCACGCCCATTGCCAACCCCGCGCACAAGCTCGAGCCTATCCGCGTTAGCGTCCGCGCAGCATTGGCATTCGCGCCATTCGCGATAGTCGCGGCGGTAGCGTGTGCGGAGTCCAGAATTCGCGCGCACGTGCCTTGGGGAGTGCGGAGGGCGGGGGAGGTGGGCTCCGCTGGTCGGTCGGCGCTAACAGCGGAAGCGGAATGCTGCAGCGCGCGAGGACAGGCGGGGGGCGCAAGGGAGGGGAGAAGCCGTCGCGCGGAGGAGAGCTTGCGAGGGGAAGAGAAGCGTGAAGGAACGAAGCGGCAGGACGCGACTGATGGCGAGGAAAATAAGGAGGAGTGAGCTGCACGAAGCAATGGAGGCGCACGAATGGAGGAGAGAGCAGCCATGGCTGATGATGGGGGTGCGGGAATGGTGTAGTGATGGAAGGCGGGATGAATGGCTGTCTTTGTCAGCGGAGGGGACTTAGGGCGTGTGACATCCGATTCCGAACATGGGCAGAATTAGAACAGTTGAGCTGGTGACAGATTGCGCAGTTTTCGCTCAATCACTCATGAATTCGCCAAAAACGATCGCAAAAAACGGGAAAACGGAGGACACAGACAGTTCGAATGGGGCTATCCGAACGGTCAGGCAGGTTCCGTTCGAACGGAACTCCCTCCCGTGTAACAAAAGGGCTGCGTTCTGCAGGCAGAAAAGGAAAGTGCAGATTACATCAGAGCACCTTCCGAAAGCCTTATTTTCTGCTTCGGATCGAGGGTCAGCCCGCAAAATCTCGTCCAAACCTGGCACAAGGTACCCGAACCTAGTTACATCAACATGCCTGCAGAACAGGTCCATGTACAGATGACATCTACGTCAGGGAAACACCCCCCTCGCTTCCCTCCCTGGCAAATTTGACGCAAAGGTGACGCAATGCTGACGTTCGCTAAATCGCGGAGTTCACCTTGCGTGTGGTGTTACATCAGCCTCAATTTGGCTCCTCTCTCCTTTCGCTCGCGCTTTCCACAGTTAGGCGCGTTGCTTCCAAGAGAGGTTTGGAAAGTGCACCTGGTTTGAGTGGTAACCAGTGCTCTAGAAGTCGCTTGAGGAGCTTCCTCAATGTCGACGTCGACGTCGACGTCAAATGCCTGTAGAACACAGCCGAGGTTTCCACATTCCTGAGTGGAGCAATTTGGCTTCTGGAGTGGGAAACTGCACGGTTTTGCGATAGAAGCACCCCAAGAAATTGAGGAACAGCAAATTAGCGGGTCAGCCTGCAACGAGGATTTGCACATTTTTCTTCCAGGGGACCAGCGATCGTCCTGCGTTTGCACGAGGAGATCCGTTTCAGCTCAAGTTCGCGCCAAGCCCAGCCTTAGCCTGTCAGTACAGCATCACCTTAGCGTTGTGCCGTCTTGCCACGTCACATTCAATTACCGGTCATACACTAATCGCCATAGCCGTCTGCCAGCCGGCCAGCACTAGCCATGACTGACGGCCTACATACTCATTCGACGAACCTTACCGCGCACTCACCTCAGGGGGGTTCGGCTGCGCGTTCGTCGGACGGATCAGCCGCAGTATGCGGAGGCGGAAGCGCTGAGACCTCCGGCCAGCCCGTTGCTTTCCGCTTCCCCGCGCTCGCGGGGAGGAAGCGCCGGCAGCGCGTGGGAGAAGCGTTTTTTGCTGCGGGAGATGCGGAGCGTGAGCTATTGGCGAAGCAGCTGTTGCTACTGGTTACAGCGGAGGAGGTTGAAGCCATTATGCGGCAAGTGCGGGGAGAATCGGACGGCCCAGGAGAGTCGTCGGCGAGCGAAATCGACGGTGCAGATGGAGGGGGGGAAGGACGGATAAAAGGCAACGCCATGGCTGTCAGCAGTGAAGGCACAGATGTTGGTTCAACAGGTACAGAAGCCATAGCTACCAGAGAAGCGGTTATGGTTCCTCCGACCGAGCCCGCAGATCCATCCGTTGCGGTATCTGAGGAGAGTGAGCGAATTTTGAACAAGAACGCGTTTGAAGAGCCCATCAGATGCCCAATCCCAGGCTGCCACGTGGTGGTGCAGGGAGCCCTGGCCCTGGATGCGCATCACCAGGCCATGCACCGAGCCATGTGCGCCACGTGTAGTAAGGCGTTCCCCTCCAATCGCCTGCTCAACATCCACGTGGCAGAAGCCCATGATTCCTTCTTCCAGGTCAGCCGCTCAATTATCCCTTAGGCAGAATATCCTTGGTCCCGACAGCCTCGTTTTCCTCATTTCTCATTTTTGGTGCCTCGTTCGCTTGATGCTTCGTAACATGATGTGTTGGTACCGCTACACGCTTACATGCGTGTGCGTGTCCATGCATCTGACCATCCATAATGTGGCTGGGCATCCATCTAACCACATGCTATTTCGCATGCATCCCCACAACCATACATCAATACATCCATACATGCATACATGCGTACATACACATTGTGCAGGCGAAGGTGGCTCGCGGGCTCGCCATGTACGAGTGCCTGGTGGAGACATGCTCGCACCGCTTCCCCTCCGACGCTGCTAGGCATCAGCACCTGGTGGCACGCCACCACTACCCGCCCTCCTTCCACTTCCACTCGCTCTCCCAGTCCCACCCCTCCCAGCGACGGCGACGCCAGATGGCCCAGCACAGGGGGGAAGGAGGAGGGGAAGTTGGGGATGGGGGAGAGGTAAGAGGAGGGGAGAGGGGTAGGGGGAGGGGACGGAGAGGAGGGCGTGGGAGGGGGAGAGAGGGTGGGAGAGGGGTGGCTGGGATGGAGATGGATGGGGAGAGTGAGGGTGTGGGAGAGGGGAGAGGTGTGGCGGGGGGTGTGGTGGGGGGTGAAGGAGGTATGGAAATAGCGACCAAAGAGTTTGAGGTCGAGAAGAAGGGCGACGAGGCGGTGAATGCAGGTGTGAGAGGGTCCAAGGAGGGCTTGCGTCAAGTAGAGGACACAGCGAATGCTGTTAATGCAGCTGAGGCACTTGATGCAGCAACACGAGGTGGCGGCACGCCAGCAAGTGCAGCCACAGAAACTGCAGCAACCGTATCAGCAGCAGAAGTGCTAGCCACATCTGCCCCTGGTTCGGGTGGCATGGACGTGGATAGCCTTGCAGCAGCTGTGTCTCGCCTTACCACGTCGGACTTCGTGCCCCGGTCTGTTAGCTTCGGCCGGAGGAGAGGCCGTGGGATGATGCATGGGTCGGGTAGAGGGAGGACAGGAGGTCTGAGGGGAAATAAGGATGTGGCTGCTGATAATGTAGGGCAATAAACAGAGTGTCCATTGCATTCTTCAAGTGCTATTAGCACTAACGAAAGTGATCGATTTCTTATGGCTATCTAATCACATAATTCTTTGGCATTAGTAGGAACATCAATAGGTTTGTGTGTGATCAATTAAACCGTTCTTAGAGGTGCCAGGCGCACACTTCGGCACTTGCACTTCATGTTTCTGGTTGAGCCTTTCCAGAAAGCGGTGCTGCCTCTGACGATACCTGAGCGAGCAGCACCCATCACCACAATCGCACCGTCCATGCTGGCAGGAGCGCCTCTGTCGCACCGCCTGACATCCCGACCAGCGCTGTCTGTGGCTACCGAGCCGCATGTGTTTCCCCAGCAGCAGCTGGACGGAATTTCAGAATTCCTCTTAACCAGAAGGAAACTAGCTCAACCGAGTTCCAAGCCCGTCATCCCTCCCAACATCCAACAAAACCTCCCTTCATTGTGCATCGCGCATGAACTATGTCCGATCGTCGGTTAGGTGCGATCATCAACTTTCATTTACTATGTCCACCATTATCCCGTCAGCTAAGGTTTAGGCATGGCGTGGACGAGTTAGTTTTCCTTCCCCAACGCTTTTCTAAAATCCCTTTGAGTCTTAGATCTGATAGTGCACCCGAACCCGTCGACTCGATCCCTTTTAGTCTGCGCGAATATGGCTTTTCTATCACAGCCTCGGAATACGACTGTGCGGCCCCTGCTTTCGCGGCTACCACTGGCAGTCGTTCTCGTGTTTTTCGCACAGCTATCGCATGTCGCCCGCCACACCACCGCGGCGGCCGCACGGACTTCGGCAGCCAGTCATTTTTACGGGAGCAGCGCCCGCAGCAGCAAGAGCGCGGCGAACAGCGAAATTATGCTCGACGACTCTTCAAGGATCAGCGAGGAGGCCACCTTGACGGAGGGGGCGGAGAGAAGTAGCAGTGACGAGCGCGACCCGCTCATTGCCGCGGCCGCCGTAACTGGTAAGGAGATGCTTCCTTCTCCTCCTTCTCCTCCTTCTCCTCCTCCACCTCCTAGAAACCCCCCACATCTCCACCCTCCCCTCTCCCCACTCCCCTTCCCTCTCGCGTCACGTCACGCCTCCGGCCTCCCCATTCCCCTCATTCCCCGAGTTTGCGCTCTCTCTCTCTCTCTCTCTCTCTCTCTCTCTCTCTCTCTCTCTCTCTCTCTCTCTCTCTCTCTCTCTCTCTCTCTCTCTCTCTCTCTCTCGCTCTCTCTCTCTCTCTCTCGCTCTCTCTCTCTCTCTCTCGCTCTCTCTCTCTCTCTCTCTCTCCTCTCTCTCTCTCTCTCTCTCTCTCTCTCTCTCTCTCTCTCTCTCTCTCTCTCTCTCTCTCTCTCTCTCTCTCTCTCTCTCTCTCTCTCTCTCTCTCTCTCTCGATCCGCGAAGTCGGAGATCTTCGACTCTTCCCCTCTCCCCATCGCCATCTTCTCTGCCCCTTCGTCTGCCCCTTCGTCTGCCCCTTCGTCTGCCCCTTTCCCGTCCGCCGCGGCACGGTCCCGCCCACCCGCCCACCCCGTAGCCATGGCGGCGGTCTCGAAGGCGCGGAGGCGCGCTGCGGGAAGATGCGTCTCGCCGGCCAGACCATCCAAGTGGCGCGGCTTCATTGGCTCTCTCCGGCCGTCCATCGTGGTTTCTAAGGACGGCTCCGGCAACTACCGCACCATCTCGGTAATCCCAGGGCTCCAGGCACTGCGGTAATGCTAGTTACATGATAGCGAGTCTCACAATAACGCGTTCAGAACTAAAGCGATCTCGGGACATCTCCACATCGGTTCTAGCCAGAGCACGTACTTTCCTCAGTCTCTCACGGGCAATGCTTGTTCCAACGTGTGTGAAAGAGATGACATCAGCGTCCCAGACACGTACTGCCCTCTCTGGCCGACCCCCTCTTACGCACCTGCCCTCTCTTAAATTGAACCTCGCCTTCTTCCCCCCTCCATTCGCCCCTCAATTGCAGGAGGCGGTGGCGGCGGCCCCCAAGGGCGCGGTGATCCACGTGCGCGCGGGCGTGTACGAGGAGCAGGTGCGCGTGAGGCAGGACCGCGTGCTCTTGGTGGGGGACGGGCACCGCCGCACGGTCATACGAGCGGGGCGGAATCAGGCGGAGGACACTGCGCTCATGGACACTGCCACTCTAGGTGGGCTTAGGCAATGTGCATGGGTGTGTGGCTGCACAGTCGCATGGGTGGATGATGCATATAGGCTAGGAGCGGCTGTGGTGCAATGTTGTTTGAGGGGGGCGGAACTAGGCGGAGGGTTCTTGGACACTGCCACTCTAGGTGAGCTCGACAGATGTGCATGGGTGCATGGGTGCATGGGTGCATGGGTGCATGAGAGCATGGGTGCATGGGTGCATGGGTGCATGAGAGCATGGGTGCATGGGTGCATGGGTGCATGGGTGCATGGGTGCATGGGTGCATGAGAGCATAGGTGCATGGGTGCATGAGAGCATGGGTGCATGGGTGCATGGGTGCATGGGTGCATGAGGGCATGGGTGCATGGGTGCATGGGTGCATGGGTGCATGAGTGCATGGGTGCATGAGTGCATGGGTGCATGGGTGCATGGGTGCATGGGTGCATGGGTGCATGGTTGCATGGGTGCATGGGTGCATGGGTGCATGAGAGCATGGGTGCATGGGTGCATGGGTGCATGGGTGCATGGGTGCATGAGTGCATGGGTGCATGAGTGCATGGGTGCATGGGTGCATGGGTGCATGAGTGCATGGGTGCATGATTGCATGGGTGCATGGGTGCATGGGTGCATGGGTGCATGGTTGCATGGGTGCATGGGTGCATGGGTGCATGGGTGCATGTGTGCATGGGTGCATGGGTGCATGGGTGCATGTGTGCATGGGTGCATGGGTGCATGGGTGCATGGGTGCATGGTTGCATGGGTGGATAGTGCATGGGTGCATGGGTGCATGGGTGAATGTGTGCATGGGTGAATGTGTGCATGGGTGCATGGTTGCATGCGTGCATGGGTGCATGGTTGCATGGTTGCATGGGTGCATGGGTGCATGGGTGCATGGGTGCATGGTGCATGGGCGAGGAGGGGCACCAGCCCATGGTGATTCGAGAGGGGAGGAACCAGGCGGAGGGCACTGCACTGCGCTCATGGATACAGCCATCCTCGGTGTACGGGGTGCAAGAAACGTGCGGGTGCATGGATTTCGGGATGCACGGGCGAGTGCACGGGTGCATGGATGCATGGATGCATGGATGAGTTGCTTCTGCCGTGCTGCCTGTGAACATGTGCTGCCCCATGCATGCACATAGAATGGATGCCCAGACCAGCTGAGAGAGAATGCAGTCCAAGAACCATGCAGTTGCCTTGGGGGCTCTCGTAATCTCATCAGGCCTTCCGGACCTTTTCTGTCATGCGGTGAGGCTGCAGGCATATACGGGTCAGACTTCGTGGGCATGGGATTAGGCGTGGAGAACACAGCAGGGCCGGACGGCAAGCAGGCCGTGGCAGTGCGGTCAGACGGCGACAAAACAGCCTTCTACCACTGCCGCTTCTCAGGCTACCAGGACACACTCTTTGCTCAGGAAGGGCGGCACTACTACAGCCACTGCCAGATTGAGGGCACTACGGATTTTGTCTTCGGCCATGCTGCTGCTGTCTTCTATCGCTGCATCCTTGTTGCTCGCCCCAGCCCTGAGCCAGTCTACGTGGCAGCGTCAGGCAGAGCCTCCTCTGCAGAAGCCACTGGGTTTGTGTTTATCCGATCGGATGTGAAGGGCAGTGAGCCAGGGACTCAGGCGAATCAGCAGGGGAGGGTGTATCTGGCCCGGCCGTGGGGCATGTATGCGAGAACAGTGTTCATTGGGAGTAGGATGAGTGGAGTAGTGAACGCCGAGGGGTGGGCGGCGTGGCATGGGAGACCGTCTAGTCGATCCCCGTTCTTTGCGGAATATGGGTCGCATGGGCCAGGGGCGGCGGAGGGGATGAGAGCCGCATGGGCGCAGCCCAAGGTGCTTCGGAAGGATGAGGTGAGGAAGTTTTGGCCTGGAAGATTCATTAGGCTGCATACATGGAAGAACCAAACAAGAATCCCCTGCTGATGCTGAGCCTTGCAGCAGGGGCTGTACCTATAAGAATGTGGTGTGGTGGTGATCCCACTGAAATGCACTGTAATGTAGCATGTCTTACGCTTCCAGGTAGTACGGTAGATCAACCATGAAGGGAGAATGACTACCTGGTACCTACTCAGCAGCAGACCCAACGCAGCCGCCTATGGTTTGCATTGCACTTTCCTCGCACCGATTCAACAAGGCGAAAATAGCTCATGGTGCAAAGCGAAGTGAAAGCACACAAATACAACATGGCTTTATGAACAAGTTTGCACACAACGCAACCCAAGTACAACAGCTCCTCCTCCTTCACCAGTATATTGTGGTCTAACTCCGAAGATCGTGGGCATATCACCAGCCTGTATCTTGCCTTGCCGCTACATGGCAAATCGCCACTAAACGAAGATGAAAGGGAGTCGATGGAAGTGGGGGGAGGCCAGGAGAAGCCTCTTCTGCATCAAGCATCCGATCGGAGACGGTGCGAGCGAGGCCCTAGGGTTGTGAAGTGGGCTTCTCCACGGTAGCAGAGGGTAAGAATCGTTGCGAGATGTTGTGCATGCGCTCTTGGAAGCCCTCCAGCCCGATGGTTCCCAGCATGAGCGCCACGGTGCCTCCCTGCGCCACCACGCGCGCGCGCATGAGCATCTGGCTGCGCCGGTCGTTGCCCTGCTTGAATGACGCCAGCCCCGCCACCAGCACCGCCGCCGTCGTGAACGCCCCTGGCGGATGAAGGGGGGTGATGGGGGGTGAAGGGGGGTGATGGTGGGTGATGGTGGGTGATGGTGGGTGATGGTGGGTGATGGTGGGTGATGGTGGGTGATGGTGGGTGATGGTGGGTGATGGTGGGTGATGGTGGGTGATGGTGGGTGAAGGTGGGTGATGGGTTGGTGATGGAGGGTGATGGGGGATGGTGAATGCTGGTGGATAAACAGTTCTTCTCCGGCATTATAACCACATGTACTATATTTGCTGCCAAGACGACTCAAAAGCCGCCGTGAACGCTCCTGTCGGAAGATGCCCATGGGACGGATGGGAGTTCGCGCGACGTGATACACGCGATGGGGGACACGAGACGCGAGAGGACGGCGGACGGGGAGGGAGGGAGGAAACGGCGAAACGCGGTGCTGAGGTAGATAATTAGGGTAAGCGAAAGTAAGGGTTACACTGCAGAGGCGGCCCATGTGTGAGAGAGCGAGCAGCTTACCTAGTAGCACGAGCGGGTTCTTGTCGTTCTTTTGGAAGAGTTCCGCGTCAACTGTGGTCATGATGGCGACGCGCGCGCAGTGGCTTGATTATCCGCCCGAGCGAAACCGATAGCGGTCTCCCTAGTGACAACCACCAACACGGAGGAAAATTCTACCGTAAGATTGTCAAGCTAACCGCAGACCGTGAACAAATCACGGACGAGCGGCAGGAAAGCTCAAAGGAAACTCGGGTGTGGTAACCGGGAGACGCAATGCTGGATGGCCTGGCTTGGCCCAGGAGGAGATGGAGTGGAATGGCGAGAGTGTGTGGGGGTTGGTTTTCAACGGGAAATACCACAGAATGCAAGGCAAGCGAAGGGTAGCAATGCTGGAAGAAACAGGTACGACCATAAGAGAGGCTGGGCTGGCTGCTGCGGAGCAAGGAGACAGGCGAAACTGGAGAAGATTGGAGAATGGCGTAACGAAATAGGAACAATTGTAACTGGCCCTCGCCACAGGAGCCTGGACGAAATTTGTGGCTCATGCAACAGCTTCGCGAGCTGGGCGAGAAGTTGCTCAAGAAGCTTCAGCGCGAGGAGCTGGAGCCTCACGCATGGGATTGGTGAAACGTGGCAGGCAACTGACTGGTCGTTGATCGTCCGCGATTGCGTGCCCCTCGAAACAAAGACGTCGACCGTACAGAACGAAGATTTCCAAAATTTCCACTGTGGTCCTTCCGTATATTGCAAGATCCATGCAGTACTAGATCCATGCGTATGTTTTCGTGCGTAGTACAACTCAGAACCTTTGAGTCTTGAGTTTGGTCTGTCCGCTCGCTTTAACGAGCACGCGAGTGCTGTCCATTCGTTTGTGACTTTTCACTAACATAACTGGTTTGCAAACATCATCCAAATCATTTCATTATAGTCATGGATTCCGCCGAGTGTAGCGACCACTAAAGTACACACGCAACTCATCTTCTACGCAAACAAAATTGTGGATTGAAGCCACGGGCTCAACTTTCGGAGCAGCCAGCCACCCCTCTCTGGTCTGGTCTTGAAGGCCTGGACCTGCTCGTGCAAGCGCCCTGCGGGAATGGCAGGCACGTGGGAGAACGGCATGCAGGACCCCCTAGGTGGCTGTAATACGCAAGCCCACAACTCTCTAGAAGCCCGCAAGCCCGCAACCACTGCCAGCTAGGTCCACTGGCGCGGAGAGGGCGGGGGAAGGATGAAAAGGCGTAAGGCCGCTGTGAGGGGACGACCCAGCTGCGATGGGCGAGGGGAGGTCGGAGTGTGTGCGGGGAGAGGCGAGAGAGCTTTCCTTTGCGTCGAAAGTCGAGGGCTGTGCGTACTGTGTGGCAGAGCGACGGGAGAAGCACTAGTAACAGTCGCGGGGAGAAGCGTTGCTAGTTTTCGCGAGTTTCACCAGCTGAAGAGGCATTGCACGCAAGCGCTAGTGCCGACGAACGAATCAAGCAGCGCCATCTTCCCTTCCCCCCACAGATCCAGCTCAGATCCGCTGACCCTCCTAGATCGCGATAATGGCGCATCTGGCGCGCGCAAAAGCGGAGTTGCCGCCGCGAATCCCGCCTGCTCCGGCTCCCGATCAGCCACCGACGCCCGATCCGACGTCGCGTCTCTCCGACGCCCTCTTCGGGAAAGTTTTTCGTCTCGTGGCGTCGAACGGCAGCGGAGTCGACAATCCCGATCTCTCTCCCAGCGACGAAGCGGCTCTGCAGGACAAGATCGAACGCGCGCTACGCGAGCCGCTCCCGTTTAAAGACATAGGCTTCAGCATGCCGGAGGGTGTGGTGCCGAACGAGGCGGGCAAGTACTGGGGCTCCTCTGCCTCCTCGCTCTTCCCCTTCGCCCACGCGCTCGTCTGCAAGCGCTGGCTGCGCGTGGCGAGATCCGCGCATCCCGCCATTCTCGTGCCCGAAAGCCGCTTCTTCTCCGCGTCAGCCCTCGCCGCGCTCCTGTCGTCGCCACCCTCCTCGCGGTTCTCCAATCTGCGCCATCTGCACCTCGGCGAATCGGCTCTGGACGCCGCTGACAGCCGCTTCGTGCGGGTTCTGTCCACCGCGTGCGGAGCTTCTCTAACGCACCTCACCCTTCACCTGGCGAGCCGCCGCCCATCCGTTCCTCCCGTCTCGCCCGGGGATCTCGGCATGCTCTTCTGCTGCTGCAGGCAGCTGGTCAGCCTGGACTTATCGTGGCGCGCCGAGCCTGGCTGGAAGTTCCCGCCGTCGATCCGCTGTCTCCACCAGCTCACGGCACTCCGCCTGAACCTACTCGATGTTACCGGGTTACCAGAAGCGTTCGGCAGCTTGTCCAGGCTGAAGCGGTTACAGATCGTGTCGGGATCTCTCCAGGCCCTGCCGAGCTCCTTCTCCCTCCTCTCGTCCCTCGAAAGCCTTTCTCTCGCTGACTGCCCGATGAAGCACCTGCCGGACGCTTTCGGGCAGCTTCAAAATCTCAAGAGCATCAGGATCTGGTTTGTGTCGGAGCTGGAGGAACTCCCAGGATCCATCTGCGAGCTCTCAAGCCTCTCTGAGCTCTCTCTGGAGTACTGCAGGGATTTGGCTCGGCTGCCTGCGAACATTCACCAGCTAGGCAGCCTATGCAAGGTGCTGCTAGAGAAACTAGATGCCTTGGTTGCGCTTCCGGACTCCCTTGGGCTGCTGCCCGCGCTGCAGGACCTGCACGTGTATGACTGCCAGCTGCTGATGCTCCTCCCAGACACGCTTTCTCACAGCCAGACGCTGCGCCGCCTCACGATACGCATGTGCAGATCCCTCGGGGCCCTACCTGACGCGGTCGGGCAGATCTCTACTCTCCAGTATCTTTATCTCGAGTACCTTGGCGACCTCACTTCTCTTCCTAGCTCCTTTGGATACTCGTCTCCCCTCCAGGAGCTCACCACCCATTACTGCCACGGCCTTTTGGAACTCCCACAGTCTGTCTGCGCCATGGAATCACTCACCAGTCTCGTTCTAGACGGCGCTGCTGTCACGGCGCTGCCTGAAGCCTTCGGGCAGCTGTCCAGCCTGGCCCGCCTGGAGCTCTTCTGCGAGGGGCTCCCCGCCTTGCCTGGATCGTTCGGGCGGCTTAAGCGGCTGAGGGAGCTGAAACTCATTGCCTGCCACGAGCTAGCCACGCTTTCTGCGTCCTTCTCCTGCCTCTCTTCCCTGGAAACCCTTGTCGTCTACGGCGGACCTTCTCTCACGGGCCTGCCGCCGGGGTTTGAGCGTCTGCCGCAGCTGAGCAGGTTGGAGCTCTACAACTGCGCCATGGATCACTTGCCTCAGGAGCTCGGGCAGTTGATTAGCTTGAGGGTTCTTAAGATTGGGGACAAGGGGTCTTATGAAAGCGTTGACGCGGACGGGCAGGTCGTTTCGCCAGGGAATATAGGATATGTTTATAGGGGGCATGATGGGCGGTGCACCCTCCGGGATCTCCCAGCATCCATTGTTTGCCTCACTCGCCTGGAGAAGCTGAGCTTGAGGCGCTGTGACGAGCTGAGGAGGCTGCCTGAGGGGATGGGGAACCTGGCCAGCCTGCGTGTGCTCAAGGTGCAGTACTGCCCGCAGCTGCGCTGCTTTCCGTCTCTCCTTTCTGCGCCGCCCAACTGCTCATCAGCTACGCATCATCCGCTGCCTGCCGGTGCTTCTGCTGCTGCTGCTGCTGCTGCTGCTGCCACTTGGTCTGCGTCCGGTGCTCCACCTTGCTCCAGCCCTCTCCCACTGCTCCAGAAGCTGATTCTGCAGGAATGCCCGCAGCTGGAATGTCTCCCAGCGGGCCTCTACCTGCTTCCTAAGTTGGACTGTTTAATAGTGCGTGAATGCAAGGAAATTAAACTTCCATACCAGAGCTCTGTCATCCCTCCCTCCTCCCTCTCCCCCCCTCCGCCCCCTCCGCCCCTCCTCTGCCTCGGTCCGTCACAGCTATGACTATTCCCACTGCCTTCCTATCAGCCAGCGACCCCCCAAGGTCCGTCGTCCACTCCAGCCACCTCACCCACTTGTACTTGAACGACCATCCTCCCGTCCATCAGCCCGAGACACCTTCCCTTGCCACAGCAACCTGCAGACCAGACCATATCCCAGGGGAGGCTTCACGCGGGCCTGCACCTGTTGTGTTGGCTGGCTTGGAGCGTCTGTCCTCCTCACTGGAAAACCTCTCTATCTGGAGCACCGACCTATCCTCGCTGCCAGAGAACTTGAGCGACCTCTGCAACCTCCAAGTGCTGATCGTAGGGAACTGCCCTGCCATGCCATGCCTTCCCGCATCCCTTGCCAGCCTTCCCAAGCTTAAAAAACTCAACGTCAGCTTTCTCCCTCTGCTCGCGCACCTGCCTGAGAACCTCGGCGAGCTGACAGGGCTCCATGAGCTCACCATAGAATCGTGTAAGGCCCTTCAGGAGCTTCCTCCCTCCCTCACTCAGCTCTCCTCCCTCATTTGGCTGGCTGTTGGAAAATGCCAAGGAATAACCAGCCTCCCAGTCTCCCTAACCTCCCTTTCCTGCTTGGCTTTTCTCAAGATCAACCGGCTGCCGCGCCTGTGCCACCTCCCCTCCCCTCTCTCCCTCCCATCCCTCGTCAAGCTTGCGCTTGACACCTGCCCTATGCTAGAGAGCCTGCCATCGAACTTGGGCTGTTTGCCGTCTCTGAGGGTTGTGTATCTGATTGGATGTGAGCAGCTGAAGGAGCAGCTTCAGTTGCTGCTGGAAGGCCGAACGGACGTCGTAAAAGTGAAGCATGGATGGGGATGGCAGGATTGATGAGGAGGCTTGTGTGAGCCTGTGCTATGTGTAGGTCATGCTTGTGTATGTCTTGTTGTCTACCAACCTAGCATGTTGCAAGGATCATCTTGATGTTACAGAATGTTGTGTTAAAGCGAGGGTCTCGAGAAGCAAGAACCAAACCCAAAGGTTTTGGTTTCGGGGGATCTCGAAAATTGCGAGGTGTGGTGAGGGTGCTAGTTGGGCGTTGTTACTGTTTTGCTAATTTCGTCCCCCAAAACCAAACCTTCGGGATTTGGTTTTTTGCTTCTCGAGACCCGCGCTTTAAAGAGTAGTTCCTGTTCCAATCCCAAGGCAGATGTCATCATGACTGCTGATAAAAATGTCAAGCTCACTGCTCCCAATCAGCGGGGGCCTAGGACTTATGGTCCAGAAGCCCCCCGTGTAATTGCACCCTTGCTATCATGCGCACAGGTTTGCACCAGAGCGAAGCGAGATAGCATGGTTGGTTACCAACTTACCACTCATTATCGTCCACCCACACCCTAGAGCTTGTATGAGTAGGTACATGGCAGGCCCGTTCCTGCAGGTGACTTTCGAGTCGACTCGAAAGTCACCTAGAGCTTGTATGAGGAGGTACATGGCAGGCCCGTTCCTGCAACCCACGAGCTCAGGTCGATGAAGGCGTTTGGGAGGAATTTGGATGCTGCTGCTGGGGAGATCTGCCCTGGCTGCACCCACGACGGCCGCATCTGCGGCTTTGCCCCTGGCCCGTAGCTCTGCAGCTCTGCGAAGTACGGCGTGCGGCTGTTGATGCGATTGTGCCACGGCTCCCACCCTTCATTCATGACGCACTGATGAATGGGGGTGCAGCAACAAGGGCAACACCGTGGCAGGGAGGCAGGTGGAGGCAGGGAGGCAGGTGGAGGCAGGGAGGCAGGTGGAGGCAGTGAGGGAGGTGGAGGCAGTGAGGGAGGTGGAGGCAGTGAGGGAGGTGGAGGCAGTGAGGGAGGTGGAGGCAGTGAGGGAGGTGGAGGCAGTGAGGGAGGTGGAGGCAGTGAGGGAGGTGTTTGACGCAGATGACTCAAGTGATGACTTAGATGAATCCCACATGGTAAAATTTAACCAGAGATGACTCACTATAACCTCTATTCTGCAGTAAAAAGCCTTCTTACCGAGTCAAGATATGTACGGATGTAGACCGTGCGGGCACACATCCCCCACGGCCGAGCGAGAGCCACTCTGGTCGCTCCAGCGGACTCGACTCTCGAGTCGATAAACACAAAGCCGCTTGTCTCATTGGCCGTGGCGCGCCCGGAAGCAGCGATGTAGCTCTGGTTGCGGCCCTTGCGCACGCGCAGGCGGCAGCGGTCGAAGACGGCCGAGGCTTGCCCGAAAATGAAGTCCACGCTGCCCTCGATGGTGCAGTTGAGGAAGTACTGCCGCTTGCCCCATGCGAACAGCGTGTCCTGCTCGGGGGGAATCGGCAGAGGAACGAGCGGAAGCAAGGAAGCCGTGGCGGTGGGGAGCAGGCACACTGCTATAGTTGCATCCTTAGGAGGGTAGAATGAGGCTCAGCGTCGACAGTGAGAGAAGATGAGTGGCAAGTACCCACCCCACTGGGTGCAGTGGCTTGCCCAGTTACCCACCTGGTACCTCGAGAATGAGATATTGGGAGAGAGAATCGCAAGAGCGATGACCGATCACGCACCTGGTACCCCGAGAATCTGCACTGGTAGAATGCGGAGCGGTCGGCATTGACGAGCAGCGCGACGGCCTGAAAGCCGGCCACTCCTGCCGTGTTCTCCACCGCTATTCCCATCGCCACGAACCCGGACTTCTGCACTCCTGCAGCAGACACACACAGACAGTAACGCAGGGATGCAGGGGGGTTCAGGCGTTGAATTAGAACAGGTGTTGTAGCGAGGAACACGTGAGACTGGTGAGACTGGTGAGACTGACAGAGCAGGCGTCTTAAAACGCGCGGTCTAGGTTTCACCAAAACGCACCAGCTGCTCAACAATTAAAAACCGGTAACCTCTTCTGGAGGGCGGTGTACTATTTGCAGGGTGTTCATGAGAATTCTCAAAAACATTCTCCAAATCTCTACAGAGAAAAGGGCAGATACAGCGAACCTAGACGAGGGAATGCGGTGGCACTACCTAGCACAGCTGAATCAGTGAGCGATGCCCCGTGCCCCGCCTGGCTGCGATTGAACGACAGGATCGTGCGACTGGGCCCGTCGCCTAGGAGCGTGAGTCGTCGCACGGCGACTTGCACCTGCTCCTCGTACCGCCCCGCCTTGACATAGATCACCGCGCCCTCCTTCGCCGCCGCAACTGCCGCCTGCCTTAGCGGGGATTGGGGTGAGAGGGTTCGGGTGAGAGATGGTTTGGTGGGTGGGTGGAATAATGAATGGAGTGCCGGGACAAGCTCAGAGCGTAGATCACCGCGCCCTCCTTCGCCGCCGCCACTGCCGCCTGCCTTAGCGGGGATTCGGGTGGGGTGTGAAAGTAGAGGGCGTCAAAGGAGCATGCGGAATGAAGTGCGGGGAGGGCGAAGCTGGAGGGAGGGTAGCGCAGGAGGGGAAGAGAAGACAGCGTGGCGTCTCCAGGTTTGCGGAGATTGGGGGCGAAGAGATGGCTTCTGAGATGTAGACGAGCACTGGTTGGTGAAGACGGGTGCGTAGCCTGAGGAGGAGGAGGAAGGAGTTTTGAGAATTCTCAAAAACACCCTGCAAACTCAAGTGCATGGCTTGAGGAGGAGCAAGGAGTTTTGAGGCGCCTCAAAACGAGGAGGAGGAAGGAGGAAGGGTGAGTTGCACCACGATTGCGCCATAAAGGGGGGTTGAGGAAGCGCGTACCTGGACGGTGCGATAGTTGCCAGTGCCGTCTGACTTTCGAGTCGACTCAAAAGTAAAGAGGAAAGAGGAAGCGCGAACCTGGACGGTGCGGTAGTTGCCAGTGCCGTCTTTCGCCACCACGGCGGTGGGCTTCAGGCGGCGCACCAGCTGCTGCCACTCCGCCGCTCTGCTCGGACTCGCGCAGCTGCCCGTCGCCAGAGTGGACGACGGCGGCGGCGATCCCGGTGACGACGGCGGCGACGACGACGACGAGGGTTTGCTTTGCGACGTGCCTTGCGACGGCTGCTTGCTCTGCGACGTGCCTTGCGAGGGCACTTTGCTCTGTGGAATCGTGGAGTTTAGCGCCGAAGCGGCCCCTGTCGTAGCGGGGGCGGCTACTTCACTACTTCGCCCTATCCCCTGGTGCTGCTGCTGCTGTAGCACACGGCTGACGGGCCATGGCCACAGGAAGGACGCGGGGACATTTCTTCCGTACTCGCCGCTACCTGCCCTGTCGCTTAATAGGTGAGCCTGATTGCTTCGACGAATGCCCCTCAGGCTCCTGCCGCTACCGTTGTCGGTACCGCCGCCGCCGCTGCTGCTGGTGGTGCTGCTGCTGGTTCGTAAGCGATTGCTGGCACCGATGCCCTTCCTAGGGGCAACACCTCCCGACGCAATTCCGCCGCCAGAACTACGCGAACCAGAGCGAATGCCCGCTTCCCACAAGCGCTGAGCTCCTATACTAAAAGGAGCGTCAACCGCCGTGGATGCCGCAATAGCTGTTGAAATAAATACTATTAGAGCTAGTACTACTAGTAGCGGGGTTGGTGCTAAGCGCCTCGGATGTGATGTGAAACGCGCTTCGCGGCTCATCGATCGCTCCTGCTGTGCTGCATAGAGGTGGTGGCGTCTTGGGCTTCCGCTCGAGGGATCTGCTATTCTGTGCCACTGAGAACCATTACGGTCAAGTATTGTCATGGCGTCGTCGGGTGAAACCAGTCGCGGAGAGTTAGACTGTTCTAGGTCGACACGGCTCCAATGTGGGTCGACACCCCTGCATGCATAAATCTCCGCAACCGGAATGCTCAGTGCAGCGAATTCTTGGCTGGATGACTGGGTTCCACAATCTGGACTACCTTACTGAGGGGGCGCAAGCTCGATCGGGGAGAAAATCCAGGGTCCTAAGGTCCTGCAGTGGCAAACAATTCGTGATCAAGACGAGGCGCGTGTGTGCTTCTGGTCGGCGTCAACCAGGCATGACGCTGGAAAGCGAATTGAGCCTGGTACAGCAAAGACGAGGACAGCCAAGGTGGAACCGGGGGGGGGGAGGGAGTGGAGTGGAAGGAACAGGAGGCGCACAGGACATGGGTGGGGCACAGTGAGTGCGCGTAAAATCGGCGGTTGTTTCGGAGACGCAATGTGCGGGATGTGCAATGTGGAAAATGTCGGAATTTACCGAGTCGCTCGACACATCCGAGGCGCGTGACACGTTTCCATGCCCCCCCATCCCCCAACGTGCCCTGGATGTTCCGACAAGCCAGCAGCCAGTGCGGAGCTGACAGTGAGTGACTCTCGTGCGTACATGGAAATTGATCTACACGCGCTGCAAAATGTCGGGAATAATCTCACATAAATGCAACCACCAGGGCTGACGTTTCAAAAAAAACCACCCTGAGCTGTCGAATGGGGAAAATTTTTTACCCTGAGGGCCTAGTGTTGGTATTTTGACTTCCCTGATTTCTCAGTGTTCTGGAACTTACAACCCTGAAACCTCCAGGGTTGGCTTGCAACAATCAGGGTTGCATTGTACTTGGGAAAAAATCAACTAGGAATGTACAGCTACTAGTTAAGTAAAAGCACCACTACGCCACGCCAGTCTACAAGTCCTCTATCTAGTCTAGACTTCACAATATTCCATGCCACTAGCTACATTTGACTAAAATTCTGGGCCATCCATGTTCACTTCGTCTTCTGCGTCGTCATCGGACAGAAAGGGGTTGTCTTCCTCTTCAGGAGCCTCTCCCCCCACTGCCCCCACTCCCCCCTCCTCCTCTCCCTCATCCTCTGCCCAATCCCCCATGTAGTCGGGGACTGCCTCCTCCTCCACCCTCACTTCTTCCCCCTCAATCGCCTTCGCCTTACGCTTCCTCTCCGCTGCGGCAAACAGAACAGACTTAGCAGGGCGCCTCAGCTTCTCGCGCCAGCACCCAATGGCCTCGTCCCAGTCAGTCTCGTACTGCAGCAGGGAAATGACCATCAGCTCGCTGAGGCGCGCATTGCACAACGCGCCCCGCACCCATGACTTGACGTTCTGCCGCGAGAAGCCTCGTTCACACTCCACTGTGCTAAGCGGCAGGACAGCGCATGCCTGCCACAAGCGCATGAGGTTGGGCCAGCGCCTGCCAGAAGGGTTGGGGGAATAGAGTACATGGAACAAGACCAGTGCATTAGCAATGCTTGTCAACAATCGATAAACAACAACTGATAAAGGAAACAATGAAACCGCCCAAAAGAAAAATCAATAATCGTCCTTCGAGCAGCACTCTCTCACAAGGTCGACTCCGTCGAGCCGAGGTAGTTCGTCAGGCCTTGATGGAATCCTTCGTCGGCATGGTGGCTCAGCATCAGTGGCGCCCACGTGACCAGCTCCTTCTGCGCAGCTTGCAAGGAAAAGCCTGTCAGCCTGTTGTCGAACAAGGCACTGCAGCCATGTAGGTACTCCTTCAGCTTCTTCTCTCTCTGCTGCTTCATCCGAGGCCACTTCGACACGCGGAAGAGCTTCGTCGGGCCGAGATTGTTCAGGTCCAGCATCCTCGTCTTCAGGAAGCTTATCGTGTCCTTCGCGAATTGCGCGCAGAGCCGCTCGCAATCGGGGTACTTGCTGCGGAAGGCATGCCCGTCGATCGGCTTCTCGTGCATGGTGTAGGTGTGCGTGACTGGGTTGCCGTCCTTGTCGATGCCCCGCACCTTTACGCGTTTGCCCCCTCCGCGCCCGTAGACCGCCAAGAAAGCCGAAAGCCACGTGCCTTCGACACCCCCGCCGAACACCTCTCCGCACTCCAAGTAGCGGTGGCGGAGGTCCCCTGTCGCCTCGTCGATGTCCTTCGTCACTTCGGTGACATCGACCTGGTGGATGTGACAGACGACGGAGTGGAGTCAGAGGGTGATTCCAAACGTGCATGCATGGGACAAAAATTACATGCAGGGTGATAGAAGCTCACCTCCCTCTTCTGGAATTTGAGGTTGAGCTCATTCATCACTCCGAGGACGTCCGCCAGGAAAAAAAGACAAAACTGGAACTTGTAACAGATAACGACCTCATACAGCTCATGCCCGTACTCATAGAAGAGAATGATAGCGGCGCCGAGGACCTTACAAAGGCGCCTCACAGCCTCACCCCTTGAAAGCCAGCGCACGGTGTGAATTCCTTGCACTTCAAGGTTGGTGTTATGTATTGCCCGCTGCAGGTACTTGAAGCGTTGACTCCAGACACATGAACGTCCCAGAAGATCGGCCAGAGTCCGAATCACAAGGTCGACCATGTCGAAGTCTGGAGAAGCAGTGGCCGCGTCCTTCACCGCCAAGGCTTCCCTGCATGGTGCACACAAGGGAATTTTAGTCAAGCACTTGTAGGAAACCTAAGCGAGTGAAATGACAAGCGGTTAAACCTGTGGGCGATGCAGTGCGAAGAGACGAGATGGGGGATGTGCTCGCGAAGTCGGGCGACGAGACCGTTGTCTCGGCCGACCATGACAGAGGCGCCGTCGGTGCTCATGCCGGTGATTCGGGAGAGATCGATGCCAGTTGCTCGCAAGTGAGCCAGAAGAACGGCGAGGAGTGACGCGGCGTCGCACTTTTCGACGGTCAAGAGTGCAAAAAACTCAGTCACAACACGATGCGCCCGCAAGAAGGTCAGATAAACAATCAGATGTTTACCGCGAGTACGGTCAGTGCTCTCGTCGCAGCTGATGCCGAGGTAGGGTGAGGCGAGAATGTATTGCATTTGTCGGCGCTGCAGGTAGGTTGCCAGGCTGCTGACGAGCTGACAGAAGCCATACCTGTAGTAGCAGAAGTGACAACAAGGTGTTGGTTAGACCTTTTTGAAAAAAAAAGGACATGGTGTACTTCGAATAAGTGCATTACCTTGTCAGGTAGACTCCGTAAGACTGCAGCGGAATGTCCGGTGTCTCCTGCTCGGCCATGAAGCGGAGTAGCCTCGGGTACATGCTGATGGGTGCATCACACTTGCACAGGAAGTCGACGCAGCGTAGGAGCCTCATGACACGCTTCCCTTCGATGTCAATCCGCGCGTAATTCTCCATGCGCCTCTGGGTGCTGGCGATCTCTTCGGCGATCTCCATCTGACGCTTGACGGCTACTTCGTGGGCTGTCGTGTGTTCGTGGAACCGCATCGCTTGCGTCTGCAGGTCACGTGCCCCGTCGCGGCTGTTGGAGTACGGTGTTGTCTCTTTGCCGAAAGCCTTGCACACACTGCACTTCAAAGCAGGGTAACCATCTTTCGTTTTCGTTAGCAGAAGCCAAGGGAAAAAAGGAAGCCAGCTGGTCTTATACTTGTGCTCAGCCATGAGATACTTCTGCTCGATGAGTTCCTTCTTTGAGAGCTTCGGCGGCTCGGGTTCTGGAATACCAGGGGCCTGAGGTTCAGGTGACGAGCGAGGCGGCGACGGTCTATGTAGCTTCCCGCCGAGGACTATCGTGCTCTGGGTGTACTTCCCGACGCGTGCTTTCTTCCCAGATGAAATCGTCGACGCACACTCGACCGTGTAACGCACGGTCGTGGCTGTCTCGCAGTCTGGAACCAAAGGGCCCCGGCTAGATGAAGCGACAGCGGGCGGAGGTACATAGGGAGCGGCGGGAGTAGATACGGGTTGTGATGGTGTAAGGACTGCGGTGGGAGACCGCAAGATGTCTAGCGCGGATCTACGGACCTCCACGGGGCGGTCCCTACCTAGTTCAGAACTATCGTCGGCAGTGGGAGACTCACCAGAGTCTCCTACATCCGCCATGGCTAGAAGCGGCGGATATGCTGAAAATGAGAAATCAGCGCGACGAAACTAGAGGAGATTGAAGACTGGAGCATCTCGCAGCTGTGACGTGAAGAAATGAAAAAAACTGGGTTGGAGGAGGAGCTGGTGAAGAAGACGGGAAGAGGACCAAGAAGCCCCATCTCTCGATTTTCATGGATGGTGCATAACCCATCCAGGTTCCCGTATCGCCATGGCGATACCGTCAACGGCGAAACGCACCTGCGCTGGCATCGTCTGCACAGAGATGATTGGCGGGGTGATGTCATACAGAGGCTGACATTGCCGCGCTCATCATATTCTGTCCTCGTCTGCTGCGTGCTGAGTCACGAATGCCAGTTGACGGTTGCAAATGTTGCTGTAATGGCAGCATACAGCGTGTATACGGCGGGAATCTTGCCGAGTGCAGATTCCCCACGTGACGCATGCTGGGCGTGTTCAATGGACTGGGCCCCGTCACGCGTAAGGGGGCCATTTCGAGGAAATTCAGGGTCCGCATGGATGTCGCATTCAGGGTTCGTACGCGTTACTCCATGAAAACTCAGTGTTGGTATAACACAAACCCTGAAATTTTAAGTGTTCACAGACATACAACCCTGAAGAGGTTAGGGTTCAAAAAAACCCAACCCTGAAAATTAAGGGTTGGCCAAAAAAATACCCTGTGAAATCAGGGAATCAGGGTAAAATACCCTGATAACGACAGGCCTGGCAACCACCACAACCCTTCATTCCAAAATATCTTTAGCACAGCACTTCATCATGGGGGCTATAGCAGGCACCAATGTTGTTTGATGCTATGGATGAAGACATTGCATTGGGATACAACAAAGCCCTTGGGAATCAGCACTGCAGCGAGGTACAAAGAACGTCTAGTGATTATCCATGTCCAAGTCCCTGCTAAGAAGCTCAAGAGCAAGAAGCTGTTTTTGTTACTGCACCCATGTGCTTGTTGGGAACGGTTACCACGACAACCACCACGCCCAGTCGCCAGCCCAGAAGAAAGGCGGCACCAGCGAAACCAAGACCAAGGGTGAAGGCAACACCTAGGAGCAGGTAGCGGGAGAGGCGTGAGGAGGGCGAGAGGGATGGGAAGAGTGGGAAGGGCCAGAAGGGAAGGGATGGTGGAGTGGGAGGATGATTTTTGCTGGCACTGGTTTGCGCATGCTCCAGATGCTCTTGCTGATGGTGCTGATCCCGCTGCTGCTGCTGCTGCTGCCGCTGATGTTGGTGCTGATGCTGGTTGTGTCCCGGGTAGTAATGCTGCTGCTCATAGTGGCGCTGGTGAGATGGCTGGTGATTGTGCTGCAGCCGTGAGCTGAGGATGGTTCGCCCAGAGAGAAAGAAATCCTCTACAGAGTCACCAGCAGTGGCTGCTCCAGCAGCAGATGGTTCAGCTGCACAGCCATGGAAACAAGGCGAGCCCCATGTCTCCCTGCTGCATGCCCTGCCTGCTGCTGCAGGGTTGGACGCCTCAGCATCTACCAGCATAAGCAGCTGGTGTTTCTCCACCTGCAAGGGCAATGCAACACGCGCGCGACAATCCATGCAGCCACACAAGGGAAAACCAGGGGAGAAGAAGGGAGGAGAGGTCAACGAAACTAATAAATCCCCACCAGTTCCGAGCAGAAAAAGAGGAGCGTGGCGGAGTCATTTTTTAGAATTCTCAAAAAAGAGGAGCGTGGCAATGGGAGGAAAGGTGAAGGCCGGAAGAGAGAGAGAAGAGAAGGGCCTACCTGCAGCTGTAGCATGAGCGCCCACTGGCGGAAGGAGTAGGAGCGCGTGGACTCATGCCACAGCAGCTGCTCCAGCCATTGCTGGCGGCACTCCGCCTGTGCTGCTGCCTGCTCTGCCTCCCTGGCCCGCGACTGCGAGTGGCACAGCGCCTCCGCCACTGCTGCTGCTTCTGCCGGTGATGCCAGCAGCTCGTATGCATTCTGATCTCCATGCCCATGCCTCTGCCCATCATACCCATAACCATGCCCATGCCCATGCCCATGCTCGTACTCTTGTGAATGATCAGACTCATGGCTATGTACAGGCGGGAAACTACGCATCTGTTGCTCCACCCGCTCGATCTGCTCTAACCGCTGCTGATCCTGACCCTGCTGCTGCTGCTGCTGGGCCATTTGCCCAAGTCCTTGCCCCACGGTTCCCCCACTCAGCTCCTTCTCCCAGAGCCCCTCCTGTGCCGCTGCAGCAGGGGGAGCAGCTGCAGCAGGCTGTGAGAAGTTGAGAGGGGGACTTGCAGGTGGAGCAGGGGAGGAGTATGGTGGGGCCACGCTGGTGGTGCGCCTCCCTTCCCCGAGCCATAGTGTACAGGAGGAGCTAGTGGTGCGAGTGACATGTGGGAAAGAGCACGTGGGCGGAAGTAGTACCTCGGTGGCGCGCTTGGAACGGGGAGGAGCCATGGGGCGCAATGGGGAGCAGGGGGAGGCAGACGCAGCGGAGGAGGAGGCGAGGGAAGAGGAGGTGGAACTGGGAGAAGGGGAGGGGGAGCAGGGCAGAAAGGTCGAGAAGGTCGAGAAGGGCGTGTGGGAGGAGGAGGAGGAGGAGGATCTGTGCTGCAGTGGGCGAGCAGAGGGTTGAGTAGTGGACTCTTGCGAGTGCATCTCACCCATGGCGCTCTCTCGGCTTCCACTCTGCCACATGCTCTGCCGCACTCTCTCCTCTCGGCGCTCTCTGCTCTCTCGGCTCTCGCCTGTCACTGCCACGCACGCACTGCGTTCACAGCACCACGACTCCAGCTGCAGTGGGGGTCCACCCTCAACGGCAGAGCATGGCACGCGAACAGACATGGCCACTGGCGCCTCAATTGCCCGCCGCACAGCCGTCGCCCGCTCTATTCCTCTGTCTATCCCTGCCGCAGTCCCTCCGTCTGTCCCTCCCTCGGCCACCAACTCCCACCCACCTCCGGCCTCCACCCCCCTTCCTCCCTCCCCTCCTCTCTCCATCCCAAACTCCACCGCTCCTCTCCCCTCCGGCCCCACGGCGCTCCCCTCTCCCACAGTCGTCCATCCACCCGCTTCACTCGACTCCAACCATTCACCCTCCCGCCCACTCTCCCTCTCTCTCTGCCCCGCCTGCTTCGACCCTGGCTCTGCCATGATTTCTGACGCCGCAGTGCACAGCTGCCAGTCCCCCGCTGTTTGCGCCATGAACGGCGGAGAGCGCGGGAACGGCGCAGGCGGGCTGTGAAGCACGGAGTGCGCGGCGGCGGGCGGGGAGCACGCTCGGCGCGCAGCAGCAGCGGCGGAGGCAGACGGCGGAAGGGAGGTGGGCGCGGAGAGAGGGGGAATGGAGGAGGAGGAGCGAGTCAGATGGGAGGGGCGACCCCAGGGGCAGGAGAGGGGAGAGACGGAGGCAGATGCCTTCTGAGTTGACTCCATGATAAGAAAAGAGCCCGATCCGCCCGCGCTCAGTAAACTGGACCTTTGCGGTGGGCTCGGGCCGTGACTCACGGCGGAAGTCACGCCGTGACTCGCGCTGGGACTCAAGGTGTGGCTGTGGCTCCGCGTGAAGTCGTAGACGTGCGACGAGCGATGATACGACAGCGGCGACTGGACCTGCGACGGCATCTGCGACTGCCCGTCCGCCGTCGCCTTGGGCCACCACCATGACGCGGAAACGGCGGCGGCGGAAGGAGCTGCGGGGTAGGTGCAATCCGCGCGCTTGTCGGCGCCGGTAACGCCCGTTGACGCCGCGTAAGCCGCGGAAGGGACGTGCAACCGGCCGCGAGAGGTGGATGGGCGCTCGCTGTGGGAAGAAAGTTAAGAGTTTAATACAGAAGGGGGGCGGGCGCACAGGTTAGAAGGCCGCGAGAGGTGGATGGGCGCTCGCTGTGGGAAGGAACTTTAAAAATTAATAAGGGAGGGGCGCGGGGGGGGCGGTACGCACAGATTAGAAGGTAATCGATATTCAAACATTATGAGCTAACGCGGCGGTAGAGAGGGAGGAGAAACGAGGGAGGACGCAGATCGACAATTGAAGGAGGCATGGGGCAACGAGGATGCAGCGACTCGCGAAAATGCAGCGTGCGCGCGAGGACGTACCTAGCGTGCACGGTGGCGCCCGGAAGCAGCTGCGTGGCGGCGAGCGCCGTGAGCCCCGCGCCCATGAGCGACAGCACGGAGCGCGCCACCTGCAGCAGACCCGCCGCCGAGCGCGCAAGCGGCGCCGCTGCAGCCGCCGTCGCCGTTAACCGCGCCGCAACCGCCGCCGTGCCCCTCGCCGCAACAGCCGCCGTCACTGCAGCCGTTGCGCCTGACGGCAACGAGCCGGCGGCCGTCTTTATCGACAATCCCAAGGGAGGCCCGGCAACCGCTCTCGACCCTACAGCAGCCGCCGTTGTTGCGCAACGCGCTGCTGTTACCGTTGCTGCTGTGGCATTCGCGGCGAGAGGGGAGGCGGCTGCAGAGAGCGACTGGAACGAAGGGAGGAATTTATTCGCGGCAGCACCGAGAGACGATGCCGCTGCTGCTGCTGCTGCTGCTTCTGCTGCTGCTGCTGATGCTGATGCTGCGAGCGATGATGCTGATGATGCTGGGAGCGACGATGCTGACGCAAGGCGAGCACACGAGTGGAGGGCGGCAGAGCAAGGGGAAGTCGTCGGGTCTGGTAGCGAGAAGTAGCGACGAAAAAATCGCGCGGAAATCGCCAACGGGGTTGTGCCAGAGGCCGTGGAAAGAGCAGCGGCAACCGCGGGGGGAGTCGTGGCCGTCGGATTGATTCGGCTGTTACGGGCGGCGCGAACGAGCAGATGCATGGCGGCGGAACACAGCCCCTCCGCCATGGCTGCCGCAAAGAGCTGGCTCCGCAAGAACTTCCAAGCGCGGAGCCGAAGGGGAACGCTGCGGCAAGGAGCGAAAACGACAGTAACGAAGGTGACAGTAGCGAAGGCGAAGAGCGATCTTGCTAGGGCTTGCCACTAAGGCCTGTTGACCACGATTGCTTCCATGAACGCTAAGACTTATGTACAGACGAGCGATTTTACACGTTCACGCAGAATTCCGAAGAATTGGAGACGTAGAGGACGGACGGGTAAGCGCGTGAGGAGACGCACGGACTCATGAGAGACTAGGCAGGTGGTTAGCAACCAAATAGCTGTTAATTAAACTGCCCCGTTCTGCCATGGGACACAGCTGATTCCATCTCAGCCTCCTCCCGTCAGCGAAGGAGGCTGGAGGATTGCGTGCTTTGCTCTACCGACAGCTGTTGGTGCACCTCGTGCTCCTTCCATAAAGACCGAGCCTACTCTGTCCAGCGCTTATTAGTGCTGGCAGGAACGAACCATGGAGACTGGGTGAAGTGGCTGGTTCGGGGAACTCGGATCAGCTCGGGGGGAGAGAGTGATGAAGGAATCAAGACGAGGATTGAGTTGAGTTGAGATGAGATGCGCGATGAGATGAGGAGATCGAAGATAAATGGCTGCGATGAATTGTGATGTGTGAGCTAGTGGCCAAGCTGCCCCTTCATCTCCCCCACCCCAATTCCCATGCGCGCAGAATCCGTCTGTGCGGACATGTCACTCTCTTCATGGTCCTTTCCGCGTCAGACATGTCTTCCGACACGTTATCGGTTTGTCCCAAGGCTGTTTGAGCCATTGGATGCCGGTTAGGAGCAATCCCTTCAGACAGTGACACTCCTCTAAGCACTGAGAGGGTGGAAATGTGTTTGTGTAGGGGATAAGTCTGCTGCTTAGGTAAGCATCGTGTGCACACAGTCGGACCTCTCCCCTGTTGGAGATTCCAAAGCCAGTGTTCTTGATCCCCAAAGCCAGGCGACCTGACTCGCATCGCATGATCTCCTCCTTACCTCATCAATCCCTTGACCCCAGTCAGGTCAGGCGGGCTCGTCTGGCTCCTTTCACCTCACTGGTTGTCACGGATTGGCACGTCACGTGCATGAAGACACATTGGTAGCTCGACTGCAGGGGCGATTGATACACCCACACCACCACCACTGGTGTCTCCGTTGTTGGGTAAGCTTGCATATTTGAGGTTTCTCCAACAAACGTGAGACTTCCTTTTTATGCACACGTATGTGTTATAATAAAAGGAGGGAAAGTGTGAAGTAAAACATTGGAAGACATTTTGAGGGAAGAGAGTATGGGGAAAGGGGAGAAGCGGTGGGTGAGGGAAATATATTGTGAGAATGGCAGCAAAAGTGTGAAATCACACACCCATTTGGGAGTGTCATTAAATTATTCCCAATCCATAAAAAAGTTTTTCCAGCTATCCAGAAATTTTTAAAAAGTTTATGGCGTCAAATAATTTTTAACACCATCTTAACTAGTTGCATTCACGGCTGGGGGTGCTGCTTTTTTGGCAGCTTGGGAATAGAGGTGCCATACCCGTAATGGCGGTTTGACTCTCCCACGTCCGCCACAGCTGCCTCCTTCTACCACTCTCCCTGCGACAGCCTAATCCTCAAAATTGATATTGACCTCAACCCTTGACCTTCCTAGGCTGCCGAGCTATCAGCTTGATTTCCTAGTTGGCTTCCACGCTGCCGTCGCGCCGTCCTTCCACAGGCTCGCCGTTTTGCGTCGATTCTAGTCAGTAATATACTATTTTTTTCTTAGTCTCCCGCCAGGTTAGAGATGTTGACGCTCATCGGGCTTTCTTCTTAGTCTCGTTGCTACCTGGTGTTCTAGGAAAAGGAGGCTCGGATGGAGAAAGAGCCCAAGTACAGGAGGGTAAGCTAAGCTACCTTCTCTCTCAAAAGATGTATATTTTTCCTGGGGTCTTCGGCTGTTAATCCATTCGCCTAATTTCTCGTGTTTCGATCAGCCTTTTCGTGTCGCTTAGTTTGCCGCGATCTGCGAGCGTTCCGATCCATTGGTCGCTCTGTTCTCGGTCATCATTATACGCAAACCTTCGGATCGATAGTGCCACATAGTCTCCGCTGCTGTTAATGATTTTTTTAATCAATCTACACGACCCGCTAGACAACCCGTTGCATGCCATTAGGTTCGTGGGATCCATGGGAATGCGACGGACTTGGTTGCCACCTGTCATTCTAGTGGCATTGCCACGGCCTGGGTTGTACTCTTATTTTGGATTCTGGAAAGCAAAATTTGCTTAGGTTTCCCGTTTAATTCGGCGTTAATGTCCACACCCTAGAGTTTCACTTTCAGACCCAACCTCGCGATTTCGCATTGTTGCCTCCTCTTCGCCGTAGTACCTCGTTCCCCATGTCTTCTCGGCCGTCCAGTCTTCTCCGGTCTTTTATTGTCACGAAATATGAAATTTCACTGCATATCCCTTGCACTTTTACGACCAGCCTCATCATACCTCTCGCCCAATCCCCCTTCTTCTTCCCTCACGCCCTCTCCCCCTCCCCTCCCCTCCCCCCCTCCCGACCTCCTCTCTCCGCTCCCCAGGATCCGGGGTATTCCAAGGCATCTGTGCCGTCGACCGGCGCTACAGCCGCTCGTCGCGCCGCGCGAGGGCATGGCGCGGCAGGTTCCTCTGAGCGCGCCTCCGCTCCGGCCGCTCCCGCCGGCCCGCCACCCGTCAGCTTCGACCTCAACGACTTCAAGGTGAGTAGCGATGCGTGTGTATGTGTGTGCGTGTGTGGGTTGCCTGGGAGGGGGGAGAGGAGAATTACCGGCGGCCCCCGTCAGCTTCGACCTCAACGGCTTTAAGGTGTGTAGCGATGCGTGTGTATGTGTGTGAGTGTGTGCGTGTGTGGAGTGCCTTGGGGGGGGTAGGGGGGGGTAGGGGGGGGGGGGGGGGGGGGGGTGGAATCACTGGCGCCTCCCGTCAGCTTCGACCTCAACGGTTTTAAGGTGCGCGCGTGAGCGACGTGGAGATGCGTAACGTGCATGAGGGATGGATTGTGGGGATCGGAGGGGGGGAGAGGGGGGGAAAAGGAGGGGTTGAGGAGATTGACCCTCACTTTCCGGCTTTCTTTTTTTTTTGCTCACTGTCACCTGCTCTGCTCACTCCCGCACTCCCGCACTCCCGCACTCCCGCACTCCCGCACACCCGCACCCACATCCACACGGTCACACACGGTCACGCCCCCTGCCCCTTCCCTCGCCGGCCACTAAGCGCGTCCCCCTTACGACAAGTTCCTCATCACGCTAGAGGCGAGTTCCTGCCCAGCGTCCCGCCGTGTGAGGCGCGTCAAATGCCCCTCCCTTCCCCCGCATGCACACACCCTCTCCCTCCCTTGCTCCTCCCCATGCTTCTCCCCCTCCCCCTCTTGCCTCACCCCCAGGGCGCGTTCTCGTTCGACGTGTTCGTCAACGCGCTAGCAGGCGAGTCCCTGCCCAGCATTCCGCCGTGTAAGGCGTGTCAAGAGCCGCCCCCTTTCCTCCTTGCTCCCTCCGTTTGCCCCTTCCCATTGCGCAGGGCGCGTTCTCGTTCGACGAGTTCTTCAACACGCTAGCGGGCGAGTTCCTGCCCGCCATCCCGGCGGACGACGGGCTGCCGTCCTCCGACCCCTCCGCCGGCCCCATCGGCTTCCCCGAGGCCGAGGCCCTGCTGCCGCGCTTCAGGGAGTGCCGGCGAGAGCTGCTCGAGCTCAACCGCCGGGTGAGGGGAGGATGTGTGAGGGGCGATGGCGTGCGCATTGGTGTGTGATGGCGTGCGCATTGGTGTGTGATGGCGTGCGCATTGGTGTGTGATGGCGTGCGCATTGGTGTGTGATGGCGTCCTCCCCCTTTCTCTCCCCTTCCTCCCCCTTCTCTCCCCTTCCTCCCCCTTCTCCCTTCCCTTTCGCCTTCCCCCCTCCCCCCCCCACCCCCCCCCCCCCCCCGCGCGCCCTGTGCGCGAGTCGTGCAGGTGGACGACCGGTTGGAGCGGCTGCGCAAGGACGTGGCAGCCCAGGACAGCGAGCACAAGGAGACGCTGGGCAAGGTGTGTGGCCACTGGCCAGGCGATGCGTTTCCATGTCATGGGATGTGACGGTTGAGGCTTGCACAAACGCAGGCATGCTGCTAGAGAGCACCACAGAGCTGCTGCTGACACAAAGCAAGCTGTGCAAAGCTGCCCAAGCTGCTGGCGTGTTGGCGTTGGGCGTTCTCATCTCAGGCGCCTCAAAGCATTGCCTGCATGTAGACATGCACTGCTTGCTCCATCTGAGCGATTCAATGGCTTCAATTGCTCTCTACCCCAAGGTTTCCATGCCGCTGTAGTGGAGTGTTTGTTTTCTTCTTCTTCTTTCTTGGTATTCGCCAAAGCCCTTCCTGTCGGGGTGGCTGTGTCTCCCGTGCTGCAGCTGGAGCGCGGAGTGGAGGGCTTGTTCGACAGCTTTGGGCGTCTGGATGCACGCATTTCGGGGGTGGGGCAGACGGCTGCGCGCATCGGCGACCACCTGCAGGTGCGTGTGTGCGAGCAAGTGAGTGTGAGTGAGTGTGTGTGTGTGTGTGTGTGTGTGTGTGTGCACGTGAGGGTGCTTGTACGTATGTGTGTGTCTGTGTGTGTGTGCGGTGCACCCTGCATAGTCTAGACTATGGCCAATGTGGTCCCGCCAGTGTGTCATAGGAAACCTACCATGGTCATCCATGCCATGTGCACCTCCCCTCAGCGCCTTAACAACCCTCCCCCCCCCTCCGCCCCTCTCCCCCATGGCAGAGCGCGGATGCACAGCGGGAGACAGCGTCCAACATCATGGAGCTGATCAAGGTCCGCACACACACCTCTCCCTCCGCTCCGCCCCCTCTTCGTCTCTCCCTCTCCGCTCCGCCCACTCTTCTTCTCTCGATCCACTCGCTCTTGCCTCCTCTCTCACCCTGCTCCGTGTTTCACGCCACGAACAGCACATGCCACAACTCACCCGTCCCTCCTATTCCTCCCCCCCTTCCCACCCACACCACCCCTCTCTTCTTTCCCCCGCCTACGTGTCCCCTGCACCGCCCCTGTGTGTGTGCATGATTTTTGAGGCGCCTCAAAAACCGCCCCTGTGTGTGTGTGCATGTCATCAGTATCTGATGGACTTCAATCGCAGCCGGGGCGAGTCAGTGCAGTTCCTGCCACTGGCGGCTGTCTTCCTGGACGAGAAGGAGATGGGCCGCGCTGCTGCCTTCGCCATGAAGCTCAGTAATGCATCGCCTCGTCTCGCTTCGTCTCGCCTCTCCTCTCCTCGTCTCGCTTCGTCTCGCCTCTCCTCTCCTCGTCTCGCTTCGTCTCGCCTCTCCTCTCCTCGTCTCGCTTCGTCTCGCCTCTCCTCGCCTCGTCTCGCTTCGTCTCGCCTCTCCTCTCCTCGTCTCGCTTCGTCTCGCCTCTCCTCTCCTCGTCTCGCTTCGTCTCGCCTCTCCTCTCCTCGTCTCGCTTCGTCTC